GAGAAATGCAGGAACAGAGACCCCCAGTAGAGGCTCATTTAGCTTGTACACCAGATCCAAACATTCTGGTGTAGCAAGGGCTATCTATCTAACATTTTTATCCATCCTCCTGCATAGGTTGGAAACTTCAGTTCATCAGGAAGCCCAAGTGTTCACCATGGGTAGTTTGTACCTATTTAAATTCTCTCAAGAACTACTAAATTCCCTGTGGTGTTTTCATTGCTATACCCCAGCTTTTGCTCCCCATGGTATTTTGGAAATTTACCAAACAGAACAAGAGTTCTGCTTTGCTTCTTTTCCTTCCAAGGTCTCCTCTGGGTGAGTCCAAGCAGGGAGTACATATAACTGAGCACTGTGGTCATCCATGGACCTCAGATATTTAACCACAAATTGAATTTTGTTTTTTTTTTTTCACAAAGGCAGACTTGCTTATGCAAAATCACTAGAAGGAAATGATTTGACAAAATTCCCAAGCATTTAACTAAACTATAATAAGCAACACAGGGAGTTTAAATTTTGGCCCAGACAATTGTGGCTTATTCTTCTGCCAGTACTTGACCTCTGGACAGAAAGAAATAAGCTCTTGTCTAAAAGATCAGCAGCTAAGCCCATGTGTAGGCAGCTCTCTGACCAACACACAACTTGGGCTTCTTTCTCAAAATCTAGTATTCTCAACTCAGCCATTTGTTACCTAATTATTGTCTAATGTATCATATTTTTTTCCTCTGTAAAAGCTATAATTTCCTCTTCACCTTTCTCAGATTAACCCATTGGTTAATCCATACATTTGGGACCTTATTTTGCCAAGTTAAAATATCACTGCACAACTAAGGGCTCAACAAGTAAAGCAAAAAGACAACCTCAGAATGGGAAAAGATATTTGCAAGGTATGAATCTGATAAAGTGTTTGATAACTAGAATCTACAGAAAGCTCAAATTAACTAACAAAAATGAGCAAACCATCCCATGTACCACTGGGTAATAGATATGAACAGAACCTTCTCTGATGAAAACAGATGAATGGCTAACAAACATTTGAAAAAATGCTCATTGTCCTTGATTATCAGAGAAATGCAAATCAAAACCATTCTGAGATATCACCTAACCCCGGTGAAAATAGCCCACATCACAAAGTGTCAAAGCTGTCAAGGCTGGCGTGGATATGGAGAGAAGTGAACACTTTTACATTGTTAGTGGGACTGCAAACTAATATAACCTTTCTGGAAAGAAGTATGGAGAATCCCCAATGAACTCCAATTAGATCTCTCATTTGATCCTGCAATCCCATTACTAGGCATCTGCTCAGAAGAAAAAAAATGATTTTGTTATAAGGACATTAGCACATTTGCACTAGACAGTTTATAGCAGCTGAATTTACAATTGCCAAAATGTGGGAACAACCTAAATGCTCACCAACCCAGGAATGGATTAACAAGCTGTGGTATATGTATACCATGGAATACTATTCATCCCTTAAAAAGATGGAGACTTTATATCTTTTGTATTAAGCTCGATAGAGTGGAGCACATTCTTCTTAGTAAAGTATCACAAGAAGGGAGAAGCAAGAATCCAATGTACTCAATTCTAATATGAAGCCAGTAGATGGTTAACATATACCCATATAAGTGAAAAACTCAAATCAATTCAAGGTGAGGGGGTACAGGAGAATGAGGGAGCTTGTAGAGGGGAGGAGAGATGTTATGGTGTATGGCCCACCTCTTGGGGGTGGGATACAATTATGAGAGGGACTTTATCTAACGAATGAAAATAGCATAGCCTAATTCTTTGTACCCTCAATCAAACCCAAATAATAATAATGAAAAAAAATCACAACTATAACTTAGCAGCAAGAAGATTTGGTTTTAAGCTTCAGAAGTGAAATATATAGAGCAAGTATTATAATTTTCTGTGTCCTATGTGAAGAGGTTACATTTCCTGATCTTTTCTGATCAGCTGAAGGAGAGCTGTGTGGAACAGCTGAAGGAGAGTATACTTTTTCATTGACTCAGTCACTCATTTTCTCACTCAACAACATGCCTTAGACTTATGTAAATCTGCTAGATCATAAGAGGTTCCTGGTGACTTTAACATCCTCATTCCACTAGAATTCTACAGAGAGGTCATGAGATTGATGAAAAGGAGATGCAAGAATGTGCATCCTCTGAGACGCTTGCTTCCCCTCCCTCAGCCTTGGTCTTCTTGTGACTCATGGAGGTGATAACTCAGAGTGTTATGAGTTGTTAGAAAGAATATATGCAGGAGCACAATACTTCCAAAATATAGGAAGTTACTTAGTGTTCATAAACAAGGATGAGTCATTCTGTATCTGCAATATTTATGGAAAATTCAAGAGTGACCGTGAAGCATCCGTTGCAACGATCTCCTCTGTTTCACCCACTTCCTCTAACTACCAGTGTAACATTATAAGCCTGATCTCTTAGATTCCACTCTTTTTGCCTCAATCACAGGTAGGTATTAGTACATTGAAAATAATAGGCTCGGCGCCTATAGCTCAACCGGCTAAGGCGCCAGCCACGTACACCTAAGGTGGCGGGTTCGAATCCCCAG